GCACACTCCTGGTGCCAGAGAATAGCTTCTTGCAAAGAAACACAGATGTTGGCAGTTGGAAATTTCCTGATGTGCATAAGGGTGCTGAGGGTGAGGAGATATGGGTGGGACTCTAAGAGTCTGTTTCATGGTCTCTGCCAGAATCCACAAGTAACATATGGACTAAAAAGACACGTTTCTGTCCCGCCTTGCCCAAGCACACACCTAATACACCATGGTGGGGCAGGGACAGAATAACAAAAATAAAACCCCCTTTCAGAAAGGGGAGGAGTGGAGACCCATAACTGTCACCGGTCAGTATCAGTTTTGAAGCTGGGCATGCACTGGGAAGTCCTCAGTCGGAGGTCCTCATTAGGTTAGATTCTGCTCTCCTAAAGGGGCTCCTTTGCTTATTGCTCTCCATGGTCCCTGGCACCTTCTTCTGAAAGTGTCTTCCTTCTCTATTGCTCTCTCTAGCCACATCTGAATGGGGTATTGAGGAGTTTGTACTCCTGGGGCTGAATGACTTTCCTCCCACTCGTCATGTGCAAGCTTGAGGATTGTATCAAAGTTTGAAAATTACAGGTTTCTAGTTTGGTTCAGAAAGCAATTATCTCAAAATCTTCATAACCTTCAGATTTATTTGCTTCCAGTTTCACGTGGTAGCTGTCAACCTCATATATACAAGACAAGGTCAAGGACAAGGCCCAGCTGATTCCACCAGTGAACATACATGGCATACTTAGATCCAGACCATTTATTACTTCCATAGATAGCAAGAAAAGAAGAATAAGTCAAAGGTTCCAGCTCCCTGGCACCTTGTCCCATATACCAAAAAGGATGACACTGAAACCAAAAGCGCTGACGACTGCAGTGTAAGTTGTGGGATACTCCGTCCCTCGGGCGCCAGATCTTGGTGGCAGCTAGTGCTGTTATATTCTGCAGCTCCATTCTGAGGGGAGTGGGGCAGGAAGCCCCACCTGAAACTGGGAGGCAATGAGAAACTGTCTCATGACAGCCTCCCGGGGGGATAGAAAGGTGGAGTGGGAGATGACCTAGCAGCTCTTTAGAGGCCTTCTGTAAGGATCACAAGGCATTCTGCCAAGGCTCAGATAAGCTGCAATTCAAGACTTTGCGCACGTGGATATGTGTAAGGTTGCCAGGAAGCCATGGCACAGCCGTTTCCCTGCAGTAGTAGCTCTCCCCACCCCAGGTCTTTCCTAGACATAATTTTCAAGCCTCATTGCTATCCTTGGCCTCACATCTCTCTCTCTCTCTGTCCCTGTTAATGGTGCTTACCTAGCTTGGGTGACAGGCCATGCTTGCTAACTCAACCTTTCCCACGTGGTCAGTTGTAATGGACATTTATTGCTCAAAACCTCCCTCAGGTTTATCTCTTGTTTTTAGTGCCTAGATAAAGTCAGCTTTTCCAATCTTGCAAACCCCCCACATTTTCAGATTACTAAATTCACTTTTATTTTTGTCTGCAAACAGGCCAATTCTTCCCAGAGCTTGTCTCTTTCTTATAATAATTGAACACAGCCAGTAGCAGCCAACGTGCGTGCTGACATTCTATTGTACCTCCCCTTCCCTAGAGCACAGCAGACTCACTAGGCCTGTGTTCTGGCTTCTGGGCTACTGAAAACAATAATTTAAGCAAATGTTTCACCACTGAAAGACTATTTCTACAGCCATTATGATCATTTAGTCATTTCACTTTTAAATTATACATTCATTTATTTAGGTATATTTATTCATTTACAGCATTGGAAACAAACATAAAGCCTTATCACGCAAAAAAACATTTCTAGTATTTTTTAATTTTGAGAAATATTATCTATGTAGCAAAATATAACAAGAAACAAATATTCATATTCCCACCACCCACATTTTAAAAGTAACTATTTCATCACATTTTTTCCCTGTGTTTTTTCATTCTACAAACAGATACATATAAAGTTGCCTTTAATTCCACCCCAGGCAGGGTCTGGAGTGTCTGGCTCCAGGTAACAGAAGTGCCAGAGAAATAGGACAGTGACCCTAAGCACAAGGAAGGTGAGGCAAAGTGAATTCCCAAACTACGGCTTCTGAGGGCACATTGCAACCGTTCCTCATTTTCACCAAAATCTTCATGGATTACAAACTCACATAATTGGCCTTCCATATCCGTAGGTTACACATCTGAAGAGTTAACCAAAAGTGGACTGAAAATATTTTGAAAAAAAATAAAAATAAAAAAATAACAAAAATAATATAAAATTTAAAAATACACTATAACAACTACTACATAGCATTTACATTGTATTAGGTATCATAAGTCATCTAGAGATGATTTGAAGTATATGGGAGGATGTGCATAGATTATATAGAAGGGAGTTGAGCATCCTCAGATTTTGGTATCTACAGGGGGTCCTGGAATCAATTCCCCCAGACACCAAGGGGTAACTGTAACCATTTCACCCTCCCCCAAAGGATTGCTGTCCAAGCAAGATTTAATGTGAATCAGAATCCTCTGGAGGACACAGGTTGCTAGCCTCCCCCCTAGAGTTCCTAGCTCAATAGGTCTAAGGTTGGAGCCTAAGAATTTTCATTCACAACAAATTCCCAGGTGATACTGATGCTGCCGGTCCAGAGACCACACATGAGACACACTGCTCTCCCCACTTTCCAGGATTAGGCACTTCAGGGACAGATACAGACCCTCTCTGCTTATCTGGAGACACAAGGTGGGAGAACTTGCCCCTAGTGCTGGTCTCCTACCATAAAGACAAGGTCAACTCCCCTGCTTTCGAGTTCCAGCTGGCTCAAGCTTAAGGTGGATCTTATTTTCCTCCTCATCTTCATCAGCAGCATGTAGGAATCTCCTTCTCTCATGAGGCCTCTACTCTGCCCCAGAAATGTGAGGAAGGGGCCCCTGCTCCAGTGAGGACTTTCACACAGAGATGGGCAGGCAGCATGTGCCAAGGTGCAGTGTGGTGTGTAGGAAGGGCTCAGGTTTTCTGTCACCCCGCCTCTTCTCAAGTCCAAGTGCAGCCACCTCCTGGCTGTGTGGCCCTGGGCAAGTCCATAGTTCCTGAGCCTCACTTTCCCCTTCTCCATACCTGGGACAATAATGCTCACATACTATAGAGCTGCTGAGGGAGTAAATGGGAATAGTGCAAGCAGGAGTCCTTTCTTAAGTATCCCACATATATTATTACGGCTTCAGGACAGATTTGCATCTTAATAATTAACTGTTACTCCTTTATTTCCAGCCTCTAGTAATTTTTGTTTGTTCTTAAGGCTTTCCTCACCATGTCCCTAGCAATGAGCCTTTACCTTTGAGCTCCAGTGTTACTGATTATGACTCACCTTTGTTAAAGAAAATATTATTTAGTGATACTTATTAAAGCACAGTAAGATTGACTTTTTTCAGGGCCATCAGGATAGGTATAGTGACCACAGCAATGAGATTTTGCATTGGAGGAGAGAAATTGGGCTCAACTCTGAATACAGCATGGACAAGTGGGAATTTATAGCCAAGGAGCAAAATGGGGGGTGGGGTGGATTACTGGATGGAAAATTACTAAGAGGTAACATCAGGAGTAAGGGGATTCTGGCTAAACCGACTTAACAGGATTCTGCTGAAGATAGTGAGGGTGATCAGACATCACCTGGGGGTAATGGAGAATGAGGAATTTGATTAGATATGGAAAGTAGAGTGTTCTAATTGGATTTTCCAAGGAAGTGCACAGATGAACTAAGGAGAAGTTTCAGAAATCTGACTAAAGTTTGGCCAAGCAAAGAATCTTGGTCACTTTCTATGGGTATTTTCAAACACTTAGACTCAAGCTGCTATTACCATCTTTAGGCTCTAACAAGAAAAATAAAAGCCATCAAGGTACATGGCACTAAAATCACACATACTTAATTCAAAATCATTTTTTCAATCAGGCTAGGAGTGGTGGCTCACGCCTGTAATCCCAACACTTTGGGAGACAGAGGTGGAAGGATAGCTTGAGGCCAGGGGTTCGAGGTTACAGTGAGCTATGATTGTGACACTGCACTCCAGCCTGGGTGACAGAGAGAGATTCTGTCTCAAAAAAAGAGAGGAAAAAAAAGTCTCAATCTCAGCAGTCAAGAATACAATAGGAAGAAGCATTAACTAATCAGATTATCAAAGGTTATCAATGAGCTAAGGTTGTGCAGGCCTATTTTTCCCCCCTCCCTCTGGTCTTTGCCGCTTAAACATTAGGTTCCATCCCAGAATCTCCCCAATACTCAGACAGATGCACAGAAAGAAAATGGAGCTGACTATTGAAGAGGAGGGGAAGAGACCATTGACAAAGATCCCTTGGCGTTAGCTATGTAATTCAAGTCATCCTCAAGTCTCTCTTCCCTCCAGATCTTTTGGCTGTGGTAGGTGGTAATTATATTCTTGCTATGTTGGAGGGAAAGCAACAGTCGGTAGAGTGAGCAAGACCTGGATGCAGTCTTTTTTTTTTGGATGCAGTCTTAATTCCACCACTTACTAGCTGTGTGACGTTGAACACACCATTTAACTTCTCTAAGCCTCAGTTTTTACATTTGTAAAATGGAACTACCGCTATTTGCCTCATGGAGTTGTTTTGGCTAATACATAGTTTCTCGTGCACTGACTGATGTTAAGGCTGGTGTAAAATAAGTATCTATTGAGGAAATCCTCTCTTGCCCTGGTTTTATTTTTCAATGTATAGGACTTCCACCAAAGGAGTACTCCTGGCCTGTGGCGACATCTCCTGAACCGTGGGCGCAGGGCCAACTCCCAGCAGAACCTAGACCCGCCCTTCAAAGTCCTAAACCCCAGAGGATCCCGGACCCACTTCCCGGGACCTTCTCCCGCTGCGGCCCGCCCACCACCGCTTCTGACATCTCCGCCCTCCGGCTCCAGTTGACAAGTACGTCACTTCCGCAGGAAGCGGCGGGCGCGGGCGCGCTGTTGGCGCGAAAGTCAGTTCCCGGCCTATGTAATTTCCGGATTCTCCAGCGTTTGCTTTGGGCTGGGGGCCCCGCCAAGTGGGGGCGGGGGCTGTGCGCCCGGCTAGCGCCCGACCCCAGCCGCCGTCCTGCGGGCCGCGCGCCCCGCCGGAAGACCCCCAGGCTCCATCGAGGTGAGTGAGGCGCGGAGTGAGGACCTAGCTCCCTCCCCGCCCCAACTGGGGGTCGCGATGCCTGTTGTGGCCTGCGGGGCCCTAGTTTCCTGCCCTGGTAACCGGCCCTCGGACGGGCAGGTGGGCCTTTGACGCCGGAGAGGACGTGGCTTTGCTGATTCAAGAGCCAGGCCTTTTCCTGGAGTTGGGGAGCAGGAGTGTCCGACCTTTTGAGGGGCATGACCTTGCTAACTGGCTTGCGTGTTTATATTTAAAATCCGTTTATTGAGGGATGAACGAACCTCGCAGGCCGTGGGTACCGGCGGGGCAGATGGGATCTGTGTGTTCTTAAGCCAAGTGCAATTGAACGTCCATGACCTATAGCCCCTATAGCCAGGGCCCTCAACGTTCTCAATTCAGGGACATTAATTTCGTTCTCGGATTTGCAAGGATTGGTGTTGTCATCTTTTTCCTTGACTTTACCCACATTCCAGGGTTTCTTAGAAACGTCATGGATGAATTCATGGGCAAGGCCAGAATGCTTATCCTTAGGCATTCCTGTCTGCACAGAAAAATAGGTGGGTTAAACATACAATTCCATACATAACGTGTTTTTGTTCTTGTTAATGGTTCTTTTATTTTGACAGTTCAGAAATGTCCAGAAATGACACAGAACCGTTTTTTGTGAAGTTTTTAAAGTCTTCAGACAACTCTGAATGTTTTTTTAAAGCTCTTGAGGTAAGAATAATTGAAAAAGTCTTGTTTGATGCTGTGAATTCATTTTATTTTTAAGTGTTTTTGATGTTAGGCTTTATGTCTTAGAAATAGATATTTTATTTTCATAGTAGTTTTACTGTAGTCTACATTAATATAAATATATCATTGTTACATATTTTTGAATTTATGTAAGTATATCATTATTATGTATTTGGGGGACTTGAAATCTATGACATTTCTGTTTAATGTGGCTGATCTGCAGTTCTTGGAAATTAAGTTGCTTTCTTTTGTTTCCTAACCAGAGTGGTCCTTTGTGTGTTGAAAAAATTTGAGTCAGTCATGGACTGGTCGCACTTAAATATTTTTTGTTAACTGTTAAAAAGTATGTTTCATTGTATACAAAATAATATGGGATGATAGTAGGGGTGGTGTAGAGCCTTGCTACTCAGATCCCATCAGCATGGCCTGGGAGTTTGTCAGAAATGAAGAATCTTGGGCTCCAACCCAGAGTTACCAGTTAGAATCCGCATTTTTAACAAGATCCCCAGCACACATTAAAGTTTGAGAAGCAGTCGTAGCAGGTTTTTCCTTAAAGTTCATTTATTCAGCAAATATTTATTGTCTATGATCTGATAGGCACTGCTCTATTACTTGAGATGCATCAGTGATCAGGCAAAGATTTCTGCTGTCTCAGAGCTTACATTCTAGTAGGAGGAAATAGACATGAATCAGACATGATTAATGAGCAAACTATATAGTATGTTACAAGGTGCTAAGTGTTATGGGAAGACAAAAAAGCAAATCGGGTTAAGGGCTTCCAGAGGATGGTTGTTGTATAGGAAAGAGAAGGGAAGGTTACAGTTTTAAAGAGTGTGAACAGGGTAGGCTTTATAGAGAAGATATTTGAGTAAACGTGAAGGAGGTGAGATAGCCATGCAGATATCTAGGGAAGAAGGTTTCAGACAGAACAGGCATATATAGGCCCTGGAAGGGTGCCTGTAGTGTCTATGTAAGATAGTGTGGAGTGAGCAAGGGGTAAGGGAAGAGTATTAAGGAATGTTTCAGAGAGTAAGGGTAAAGAAGTCATATAAGACTGACTTTTTCTCTCAGTGAAAGGGAGAGCCACTGGAGGGTTTTAATCAGAAGAGGATCATGATCTGACTTATCATTTTAAAAGGGTCACTCTAACTATTTAACATAAGGACTTCAAAATTGGTTCAGAAAATATTTGAGTGCTTACCTGAGTGTCAGCATATGGTGGCAAACAAGATATATCATGAAACTTCCAGGGGAGAGATATAAAAGCTACATATATATAATGTTATTTTTAATCATAAAATAGACTAAAGGGCTAGGGAAGGGTATTTTAGAAAGAATAATCAGGAAAGGCATCTCTGAAGAGGTGACATTTAAGCAGACCTGAGTGAGGGACCAAGTCAGGTGAAGACCTGGGAGAAGAGTATTCCGTGCTGCAGAGTCAAGAGCAAAGCCTCTAAATGAGCTTACGCTTAGCTTGTTCCAGGCTTATCAAGAAAGTGGGAGTGGGTAGAGTAGAGGCAGCAAGGGAGATGAGAGGTAAGAGGTAAAAGTGGGGGATAGACAGGGGCCAGATTGTGCGGTCTTGTAGGCCATGGTAAGTAATGTGGATTTTATTCTGAGTGTGGTGGGAAGCCATCAGAGCTTTTTAAGCAGACAGTGACATGATCTGACTTGTGTTTTTAAGAAGATTACTAGCTGTTCTATGGAGAACAGTGGGAGGGAGAAAGAGACCACTTGGGAGGCTTCTGCAGAGGTCTAGGTGAGAGATCATGGTGGCTTTCAACAGGGAAAAGCCTGGACTTGAGGTGGAATTTGAAGATAGAGTTGATTGGACCTATATACAGGGGACTAATTACAGGTACATTCTTTATTTTTTCTTTCAGTCAATAAAAGAATTCCAATCAGAAGAATATCTTCAGGTTATTACAGAAGAAGAGGCATTGAAGATAAAGGAGAATGACAGATCACTTTATATCTGTGACCCTTTTAGTGGCACTGCCTTTGATCACCTCAAAAAGGTTTGCTACCTTCTAGTGTGTTCCTTTGGTAGTCTGTTTTTTGGTTTGTCTTTGCTTCAGTAAACATAAAATCTTTACTGATCATGAAATATTAGACAAATTATGAATACGTTGGAATACTTTTGGTTTGGGGAAACTAGAATAATATTTTTTTAAAGGCTAATTATGTTACAATAAGCTTTTATTATATGTCATTTTTTATATTTCAGGGGATATAGCCTCACTTAGTATAAGTAAACCTATGGTAATGAAGCATTTTAGTGATTGACTTTATTTAAGCTCAGTTTGACTGTAAATTATTTCAGGGAGAAGTAATAAAGAGTAGGAAAAGACCTCAGCATAGTGTTTGGTAATTTTCTATCTTTCCTATGTACTCTTGCACACAGAATTTTAATACCTGTATCTTGTATAGGGTCTGAAAAATTATATCCTAGAAAGAAGCATTTTTGGGATCAATATTGCTAATAGATCAATGAGACATCTTATTTCTTTTTGTTGATTCTAGAGTCTACTGACTCATTACTTTTTTGGTGTCTGGACAAGAGAGAAGCATTGAAATAAAAGTAAACTGGCTGTAATTCCATCCAGATTACACAGAGGTGATTCTTGTTTCAAGGAGAAGAAAACATAGAAGAGTAGGTAGATGCAGTATTTCTGTAATTTATGGAAGGTCTGTGTGGACCTTGCCAAGAGCATTGTTCTTTATCTCCTTTTGGAAATACCACTGCTTGTCAGAGTCAGTAACATTGAAACTAATTTTCTGTGGCATATGCCTGCTACTCGGAAGGCTGAGGTGGGAGGACTCCTTGAGCTCAGGATATTTAAATCAGTTATGCAGTGGTGACTTTGGCAACTGAAGGCTTTTTAGACTGGCTTGAGTATGCCTGTGTTGAGCAGGACCACCACCGTTCTTAAGTCAGTACCAATGAAAATACAAAGTTATTTTTTGAGTTTAACCTGTAGTATTTTAGGAAAAAAACTCTTTGTAGGTCTTCTTGGAAAGACATTGAGGTGCAAAGTATTTAAAACCCAAATGTTGAAACTGCCTAGGATTATACATTTTCTTGTGACATAATAGATATTTTAGAGGGGGCCACATATAGGCTCTTATACTTTTAAGTTGCTTCTTCATTGGCTGGGTGCTTCATTTATAAAGGATATATGGATATTTCCTGATTGTTATAGCATGAGATTATTGCATTAAGATTGTGTTTGTTTCAGACATTAAAATTTTAATGGCAGTTTCAACTGAGAGGGACTTTTGGAGTTTATTTATTTTGACAGCTTGCATTGTTTATTTACTTTTTTGTGTACGTGTTTAATGTATAGTGTGTAGTGTGTCTGAAAAATTATATGATGGTCTTTATCTTTTTCTCATGACAGTTTGCTGATTTTTCTGCAGTGGTTATCAAATTCTGTAAGGAATTGGTAAATACTACAAAATGTAATTTTGTAAGACTGATCTTTTTTAACTTACCAACTTTTTTTTTTTTTTTCATAGCTTGGCTGCAGAATTGTTGGTCCTCAAGTAGTCATATTTTGTATGCAGCACCAACGATGTGTCCCAAGAGCCGAACATCCGGTTTATAATATGGTTATGTCTGATGTAACCATATCTTGTACAAGTGTGGAAAAAGAAAAAAGGGTAGATGTTGAGAGGAATATCATGACTGATCAATTTATGTATCTATCAATGTGTTTATCTCTCTCTCTCTCCCCACAATTATTCAGTGAACAGGAGATAACCTTGAAAGACCCTGTATTTATTTAGTGTTTGTGACTTTTAACAAAGTTCAATACACAACCACACTGTGTGGGTTTTTTTTTTTTTTTAAATAAATTGAGTATAGTGGAATCCATTTTGTTGAACACTGGCTAATTGAAGTTTTTTGTTTTAGTTTGGAACTATTTTCCCAGCTGGGTACAGCGGCTCACACCTGTAATCCTAGTACTCTGGGCTGCCAAGGCGGGAGGATCGCTTGAGGTCAGGAGTTCAAGACCAGCCTGAGCAAGAGCAAAACCTCCGTCTCTACTAAAAATAGAAAGAAATTAGCCAGACAACAAAAAATAGAAAAAATTAGCTGGGCATG